ATATACATATATATATACATATATATATACATATATATATACATATATATATACATATATATATACATATATATATATATATATGGGGGAAGGTGTGGAGGCAGGGTTTGCGGCTAGGCAGTGCAGGCCCCCAATGGGAGCTTCATGGTAGAGGCTCAGAAGACACCCGCTCCAACACTAGAAGGAGGCTCGGAGGCCCCATTGAGACCCTGTGGGCTGGAGGGCTTATCCTGGGGCATTTGAACTGGAGAATGAGGTGAGCAGGTCAACTTTAGGAAGTTTCCTCCTGCCGCTGGGTATCGTCAGTTTTGAGTGAAGTGGGATAGGATGGGAGGCAGGCCTGGCTACATTTCCTGTCTCCATTTATGGGGTGCCTGTGAGGCTGCAGAAGAGGCAGGGCTGGAGAGCATGGGAATAGAGTTTAGAGTAGCCTGGAGCTCTGACTGCCCCAGGTTAGGGCCTGGACCGCCTGGGCTTCAGTGTCTACTGTCAAAAGTCCTGCTTGAGAGGTTGTCTCTGAAACCTGGCAAGATCAGAAGTTAGATAGAAAAGCAGGGAGTTAAGATTGGGGGGTAGTTCTAATTTCAGGGTCCAAGATTCAGAGCCAGGGATAGACCCCAGCCAGTTCCCTCCTTCCCCTCCCCCAGCCATGCCTGAATGAAAGCCAGAAGGACCCCTTTGGAGCTGGCCGCCTGCTGTTTTTGTTGAAATTACAGCCTTGGAAGGTTTTTTGCCTCTGGCTCATTTCTGGCATTCCTTTCCGACCACATTGGAATAGACAGGGAAGCCGTGTTTAGACTTCCATTCATTTTTTCTTCCCTCCCTCCCCAACCCCCCCCCCCCCCCCCCCCCCGCTTGCTCTTGCAGCTGCAAACTGACCTCACGTCGCCTGCTGCCAGAGGGACCAAGGGGCGGGCCTGCCTTTCCTCCTGGACCACAGCCCCACCGCCAGAGGACTCGGGCCGAGGACCTGGGAAGCCTCCCGCTTCCCTCTCTTCGAGTGGACAAAGTGACAAAAGCCTGAACGCATTGCCACAGCATCACTCTGACTCACAGCGACTTCCATCAGTTTCCAAGACTGGAAATCTCATCAGGAGAAGATCATCTCATCTCCCCCCAAAACCCCTATGAGAGTGGCTGGTGCATTTGAACTTTCAACCCTTTGTTTAGCAGCGAAACAACCCACCGGGACACCAGGGCTCTTTAGGCAGAGTGGTTGGAGGGGTCGAGATGCAGCTCCGGAGTTGTCCTTGCAGCCCTGCCAGTGTGGCTGAGGTAGACACCGCGGTCCAGTTGAAGCCCCAGGAAGGGTCGCAAAGCGGGGCAGGCCTTCCCGCTGCTGGAGCCAGCGGTGGCCCGCCAGCCCTCTCCCACGCCTCTCCTCTGGCCAGCAGTGAGGGGACATGGAGGGAGATCTGGCCTCTGGACGGGAGACTGGCTTGGGGTGGGAGCCCCAGCGCCCCCTCCTTCCGCAGGGCGCGGGAGGCTTGCGGTGCTGGGGTTCCCCGCTCCGGTCTGCGCCGCCGATCTCCCACCGCGCTTAACAGCTTGTTATCCCGCCCCCGTCCCCGCCCCTCCCCCACCCCCGCCGGCTGCCGGCCTGAAATAGAAAAGGAAAGGAAGCTATTTCCACCCTCAGCGCCCGGAAAAAGCTCCCCTCCAGTGAGGGGGCGGCTGGGATTCCTGGAGCTGGAGCCCAAATCAAAGCCAGGCCGGGAGCGAGAGCCGCCCGGCCGCCGGCCGAGCTGCCTCCGCGTGTCATTTCCCTGATTCAGCACAACACGTGGCCTGCGGTTGCCACGCTGCGGGCGTGTGCAGAGCCCCTGGCGAGCCCGGCTGCCCTGAGGTGCAGGACC